CTAAATAAATTTCACACTTCCTTTTTGGGTAGGTTCAAAATAAACTTCACACTTCTTCTCCCTTCCTTATTTGGCAAATTATCTACACCAAAACAATGTCACAACAGTGTACTCTGCAGTAAAATCAAATTTATTTCCTTAATTTGTGTGAAGTCAAAGTGTGAAGTTTATTTAGGACCGAAGGGAGTACTAAGTACGTAACAAATACTATAGTACACCACCAAGCACTGACGGATTTATGATTTAAGTTTTGTACAAATTAAATAATTGAACTAAGTAATTATGTGAACAATTTTGAAGCAAATGGCTCTGCGAGTGCACCAAGACGTATCAATTGATAGCGAGAGAGTGTCACAAGGGCTGGGTCTTTGATTCGAATCCCGACAAGGCGACAACTGCGATTAGAGGTTACTATGCTAAAAAATGCATAGGGCCTCTGCAGATACCGGGGACAGAGACCCACTCTCTATATGTCAGATTGTGATTATAGTCTAATTTACATCCCCCCAACGTACCGCCCGGTCGGTGTTGGGGCCAATGTAAAAGGAAAGTGGGGAACAAACAGGGGAGACGGTTGTAGGATCAGAGTTTCTCAGAAACCAGACAGGTTTTTGCTGAGTTGGAGGTTGTTGTGGTGGAAGGGAAGCCTGATTGGTATTCTGATGCTCAGACTTTTGAGGTGTAGGGGATGTCTGTTGACATGGTTGAGATGAGGGGATGTTCTGTTGAGGTTGGGTTAGAATAATTTGGCGTTGAAAAGATGGGGGAGGAGAAGGGGATCTGTTCTTTGTGGGGGTAAACTGTTTGCAGGGTGAGGAGTGTTTAGATTTGGGGTGGGAGATTTTTGGGGAGTGAGGGTCTTCTGTCAAGAGGTCTTCTGTTCTGGAGGTCTTCTGTTAATCGACTATTCTAAGAAACTTTACAAGGAAAAATTTCTAATACATTAAATCTAAAGAAGGGGTACTCTAAAGTCCTAATTAATATAGCATCATCAAAATCTAATTACAATTATTCCTTATAATTTCCCCCTTTTTGATGATGCCAAAACCCTTTAACTATTTCCAGAGAAGTGCCTTCACCATAAAAGAGTTAAAGTTTAAAACTTTCATTAAAATCTTGGTGGACAACTTGGCATAGAAAAATAATAAGAGTACAGTACAATCAGATATGAGATAATAATCAGGAAAACGAACACACAATCATAATCAGAGAAAAGAGAGAGACATGAAGGAATTGCCTTGCAAAGTGAAAAGCAGAGATGTTCTTTTATTAATTGATTACAAGAGTGTTCTCTTACAAGTTCTCCCTTTCAGCTGCAGCTAAGGCTTGATCGTCCACTTCTTGTAATCTTTTTAGCTCAGCATTGACAGCTTCTCGAATTCCTACAAGATTCCCTTAGCTCTGATGTGACGCCCAAATAGGTGAGAACTTGCAATCCAGATAGCTGAGAACACCTTCATGAATGTCCTTTCCGGGGAGAATTTTGTTGAGGTACCAGAACTCAGCTTCTTCTAAGGAGCCACCATGTCTGACCTTCACTGGACCATCTTTGTCAAGATATAGATTCTGCTGAAGACACCAGAAGGTCTGACACTTAGAGAATTCTACCAAACCGGTAAACCAACTGAAGACTCCTTCAACGGCTAGGAATCTTGAACGGAAAAGCTACAGTATGCGCATTAAATGCACATTTAATGCCTTCCGTACTCTATAGAGTAAATGCAGATGATTGGCCGCAATGTCAGGATAACTTTATCCTAAAATAGTAACCCGCCAACTTTGTTGGGGTCTACTGGTCAAGTCAACTGCTCACACATTTAATGCAGTTGTCCTCCTCCTCCAACGGGAAGACAACCTCAGTATAAAAGATACTTTACGAAGAACAACCAAGATAACTTTGCTAAAATATTGTCTGGTTCCCCTTTACGATAACCAACCTGAGGCTTTATATTATACTCCCTTCGATTCTCAAAGAGCTTCACAGTTTGACTTCACACAGATTAAGAAAATAAATTTAACTTTACTGTAGAATGCACTGTTTGGACATTGTTTGACACTGTTTTGCACTGTTTTAGTGTAGATAATTTATCAAATAAGGAAATAAGAAGAAGTGTGAAGTTAATTTCGGGACTTCTCGAAAAGGAAAGTGAGAAGAATAGTGACATTGGGTTAAAACAAAAATGTATGAAACCATCCTCCCCGCGGTCCACGGTCAGAAAGAAAGTAGAGTGAAATGGGCACATGTTTCTTTTTCCTTTCCGAAGTCTTCTCTAAGTATGCAATCAAAAGTGGCAGACTGGTACAAAAAGTAAGAAACCATGCTGTATTATTACAAGATATTCTACGTACTATAAACTCCCTATGAAATAAAACTCCAACTAGATCAAGACATTGTTCTCATCGTCTGATGTGAATGTTTCTGATTTGAATTTTTTAAGATCTTATCTGAATTTTTTAAGATCTGATCCGATCTAAATCTTTCTGATCTGATCTGAATCTATCTGATTTTGGTTATGTTTGCCACACCATTTCAGCTCATAATGAGCTGGAATTTTATCAATTCAGTTCAAAATTTTAAAGGCAACCCTGTTTGGCAAAACGACTACACCAAGCTTAAGTGAAAAAAGTAGAGCTGAAATACAACGTTATTGGTCTAAACGTCTGTGTTCAGCCGATCGTACATTACACTCATGTTCCAGAAATAACCCTTCGAGGCTACGAACTTTCTTTCTTCTACTTTGGTTCGTCTGTTGCACACATTGCTCCCTTTTTCGCTACAGTTTTTTTGATTGATTTTATCACTGCTATAATCCTATCCTCCGTGAATCTTCACTAACAATCGCTTCATTGTGCCTAGCCATGTCACATAGTTTTCCATCGCCTGGTCAACTGTGCTTTGTTTGAACTTCCTTTTGATGATTTTTTATTATGAACACGCACTAACACATGTACTACATGAAATATACGGAGTAGTTGCAAATGTTTTTTTCAATCAATAATTGAAAACTATTTTGAATTGGTAATTTACATAAATGATAAATCTCTATATATACGACAATGTTATACTTCGTATGTATTCCCCACGTTAATCAATGGATATGAAAATTCAGTTCCTTATTGAAATTTATTTGTCTTTGAGTCAAACTGTTTTGAATATTTCTATTTATATCTATAATATTGTATTTGAATTAAAATATTGAAGAATTAAATAAGTGTCCTTTATTGTAATTTGATATTATCCGGGCACTTTTTCAGTTCTTTTGCCAAACGGGTCTACCCCATTCAACTCGAAATTCAGATCTAGAACTTCACAATCCAGCTCCAGACAATAGTATCTGATTCAGACAATAGTCTCGAATTCAGACATTAGCCCCCAGCTCCATCTCGTTGTGCCAAACATAGCCTTGATATGATCTGATCTGATTTGAAGCCTTCTGATCTGATCTTGACTTTCTAAAGCGGTATATAATAATAATAATAATACTAATATCAATAATAATAATAATAATATCAAAATAATAATAACAATAACAATAATAATAATAACAATAAAAATAACAACAATAATAATAACAATAATAACAAAAACAACAACAACAACAATAATAATAGTAATAATAATAATGATAATAATAATAATATAATCAATAATAATAGAATGTTTCCAATTTGCTATGAATGTTTCTGATCTGATCTGATTTGATCTGAATGCTTCTGGTGTAATCTGAATGTTTCTGATCTAATCTGATCTGATTTGAATGTTTCTGATCTGAATCTTTCTGATCTGATCTGATGTGATCTGAATTTTTATGATCTGACCTGATCTGAATAAAATAAGAATAAGATGAACGGAACAACTTCCAAGTTCTTATAAAAAGGAGTAGTTACAATCTATTATTCGGTACGAACAATTCTGAAAGAATGTGCGGAAGTGATAATAAAGAGTTGTCTCTTTTATTTAGAGTTTCATCCTAAAAGGTCAATCTGATTAGAGGAGTAACCTGAATCTTAATGTAGCACTCATTAATTCCTTCACAAATATCCGATGTGGGAATTCAACACCTCTCACGACCAGACACCTCGTTTGGATCATGTTGTCATTCATTTTTTATCGATTCTATCATTTTTATAATCATGTCAATCATTTTAAATAAGGGGCCACACCATTAATCGATCTGTCTCTGATATCATGTTAAGATCTGAGGTTCTATCTTAAGAGGTCAATTTGATCGGAGGAGTAAACCGGATCTTAATATAGCACTTAATTCCTTTACAAATATCCGGTGTAGAAATTCAAGAGTCTCCATCCCATTATAATTGTTTCATTTTTTCTTTTGTATTCATTCAACTAAATTTGTCTCCTACCATATGTGATGGTATTTGTTGACTTCATTTCATTTTTACTTTATCAATACATTATCAACCATATAATTGTATTTTCTTATAAACCACACATCTTTCCTTTGTACCAATCTTAAGAAGACAAATGTATCTGGTTATCAATTCGAGTTAGGTTTTTAAGGTGAATGCTATGGTAGTCATATAAAACGAGATGCCATATTTGACAAGAATTTGATAAGTTCATTATTTCATTATTTATTTATATTCCATATTCAATACTCCTTACGTCCCGTTAAGATTGTATCATTTTACCTTTTCGGGAAATCCCACTAAGATTGTTCAATACCATATTTGATAGTGGTTCTTAATCATTATTAATTTATTTTTACTTTATTAATTCAATATCAACCACATAAACTCATTTTTCTTAATAATTGTGGCTCCTTCTTCCATTTCAATGTTAGTGGGACAGAAGTAGCACTACCTATTTATTCAACTATTTCCTCCATCTCGGAATTATTTTCATACTTTCTCTTACGATCTGTCCCAAATTTATCTCTTCTTTCTCTGTTTAGCAAAGAATTTGTGTTTCACACTCATTAATACGTGTGTCAATCGTATTTGTGAAGATAAATAGGAAGTACTCCGGATGAGATAAAGGGAGTATGTTATTTTTATTGGTAGTAGAATTTGCCTTTTTTCAAAGTACTACGTATCTATTAATAGTATATCAAGAGTCTGTTTTTCCCGTGAAGAGAATTGAGTGACACAGATATTGACCACTTGACCAGTGACGACCCATCGAAACCCACTCCACCTGCTCAGCAACAACAGCTCACTGTCGCCTCACTCCACTACACGATGCCTCACCGTCTTCCACCGCTTCCAACGGTACAGCAGTCGCCGCCTCCGCCGTCTACAGCCACTGCTCGACCAAAGCCAGGGAAGCCCAATGCCCTCCGTCGAGCAGCGCTCTTGCCGACGCTCTTTTTTCGCCTCTTCCTTCTCCAAGCTCATTGCTATTTCGGAACAGCTATCCCCGGCGATAACACATCTGCAGCACCGGTCACCGCCTCTTCGCTTCCGTCCGACGCCGTTGCTCTGCTGATGTTCAAATCCAAAGCGGACCTTAACAACACGCTTCTGTACATGCTCAACGAGCGGTTTGACTACTGTGAATGGCAAGGGGTGAAATGCGTTCAGGGCCGGGTGGTCCGGCTCGTCCTCCAAGGTTTTGGTCTCGCCGGAGTCTTCGCCGCCGATACGCTCAGCCGGCTTGACCAGCTCCGGATTCTGAGCCTGAAGAATAACTCACTCTCCGGCAATGTCCCTGACCTGGCAGGACTACTAAACCTCAAGACCCTGTTCCTGAACCATAACTACTTCTCCGGAACCTTCCCTCCTTCCCTGCTCTCTCTTCACGGCGTAACAATTCTCGATCTAGCTCATAACAACTTCTCTGGTCCAGTCCCCGACGGAGTACTGTTACTCGACCGGTTGAACTACCTCCGCCTCGATAATAACCGGTTTAGCGGCTCTATTCCGCCGTTGAACCAGTCGGAACTCAGAGTATTCAACGTCTCCAGAAACAACCTCACCGGCCCGATTCCTGTAACCCCGGTTCTATCCAGGTTCACCGTTTCCTCATTCTCATCCAACCCTAATCTCTGCGGCTCCATTGTCGGGAAACCTTGCGAAGCTTCTCGATTCTTCCACTCCCCACCTGCTACCGTACCGCCGCCCATACCACTCCACCAGGAGAATCAGCCGCCTGGACTCCTCCCGCCACCTGTTACACGCCGGCACAAGAAAACTGGCATTATTCTGTGTTTCGTCGTCGGAGTCCTATTCCTAATTGCAGCAATTGTGTCATTTTTCACTTTAATTAGAAGGCGGAGGGGCGAAATGGAGCCGAAATCCACAAAAGTGGCCTCCGATACCAGCAACTATGACGCGGAAGATGTCAGGAGCTCATCTCATGACGGAAACCGCGAAGAAGCCGAGCAGAAGAAAATTCAACCTCCACAACGGCCGCAACCGCCGCTGAAGAGCGGAAATCTCGTGTTCTGTCCAGGCGAGGCAGAGCTGTACTCTTTGGAGCAGCTTATGAGAGCTTCCGCCGAGCTGCTCGGAAGGGGCACGATTGGGACGACGTACAAGGCGGTGATGGGTAATCAGGCTGTTGTCTCCGTCAAACGACTGGACGCCGGAAAAACTTCCATAACAAGCGCCGAGGAATTTGTGCAGCATATGGAAACCGTTGGAGCTCTCCGGCATCCTAATTTGGTACATGTTAGGGCTTACTTCCAGGCCAAACAAGAAAGGCTAATCATCTATGAATATCAACAAAACGGCAGCCTCTTCAATCTCATTCACGGTGAGCTCTTGCTTCTTATTTTGCTTTCCATTCTTTTAATCATTTGTTTTTTAAATATTTAGCCGAGTCAAGCTGTGTTGACTCAGTCTCCGGTTGTGCGTGGAACAGGAAGATGCCCAAATGGGACCCGATAAGGCTAGTGTTCAGACTATGGACGCTATAGAGGCGTGTATAGTTTTGGCTGTATATGCCACTTTTGATTCCTACCAAAATTTACTAAGCAAAAAAATTGACTCTCCGGACGGTACGTTCTGAGGATCTAAATTAGATTATAATATCTCTCTGAACGATAGAGAGTCAAACTTTGTGTCCGATACTTGAAGAGTTTCTATGCATTTTATAGCATACTAACCTCTCATCGCAGTTGTCGGGATTTGAACCGGGAACCAAAATTTATTAAGAAATTGTCTTAAATATGCTTCTAACTGGCCTCGTTATACAAAAATAGGCTGAATTAGAATTGTTGAAACTAATGAAATTTTGGATGAAGTTGTTGGATTAGCTGATTCTTCCGATTAATAGAAAAATTACATTAAAATATATTTTATTAATAAAATAAAGAAAAAATTATATGAAAAATAACTAAAATGACCTTCTACTTTAACTTAACTTCAACCAATACAATTTAGCGTGCGAAATCTTAAGCTGTAAAACAAGTTTCCAAAACGGGCTTAGTCATGTTTTTCCATGTTTGGACATTAACAAATTTTAAAAATTACAGTATTTTTTCAATAATTACTCTTACGAAGTATTCAAGAAATAAAAACATACCAATTTTATTTTGAGATTTCAAATCTTTTTACTCCTAGTTCAGGAATTTCCCAACTTTATTAAGTTGGAAATTTTCAGCCGGGTCTTGATTTTATTTCAAAAATGCTATTTGTACCCACAGATAAAGAAAACCTTCACGGACATGGTTGATATAAGGAGTATAAGAGTGTGTACAACAAGAACGATTATTTTATTTACTCAATTCAGCGTAGTAAAGCATATGGTTTGTCTTATATACTTAACCTCAAAGTAAAGGGTTTCTTCAATCTTGAACACACATTATCTATCTCATTTCCACCTCCACTAGACCCTGACTAGGTACTAGGTCCCGCTTAATCCCAATCGGATCCCGCTAATTCCAATTAGTCTCCAACTAAGCTAGGCCCCACTTAACTTTGCTTAAATCTCACGTCTAATATGTGTTCTATAGCTTTTGACAGCATCATGCATTCACTATTTGGGTGGCCGGTGCTTGTTTCGATAAGAAAGAAAAAAACATAAATCACATAATTCTTTTATATGGATTGAAGATTATTTAAGAAAATGAAAAAGTGAAGTTCTTTAATAGAAATGGGATTAGGTAATTTTATGGTTACTTATAAGCCATTGAGAGGCTATAGTGACTATGAAATAGTCAACTTGGTCACCATTTTCAGTATGAAACAAACAGTCTACTTTGTCTAAAGAATGGTGCTGGCTGAGCACAGTGAGCTAACACCTCAAATTTACTATTGTCTCCATCCCTCTAAGATCAGGATATGACGAAATGATGTAATTATTAAGAAAAGTAGAGTTGGGTGGTTGACATTGAATTGGTAAAGTGTGAATGATGTAATAGTGAATAGAAACGATTCAAATATTACCGAATCTAGTTTGACATAACCTTAGTGGCACGATTGCACGAATGAAAAAAGCAAAATGAGATAAAGATAAGATGGAGAGATAGAAGAGCAGCTCTTAAAATTTACATTTGCTCCTTAAGTGCAATAGTCCCTTCTTTTACTATTGGTAATATATATTGTGTGTTGCTCATAATACTAAATGTGCATCACAGGTTCGAGATCGAAAAGGTCAAAGGCCCTTCACTTGACATCGTGTCTAAAAATTGCAGAAGATGTTGCTCAAGGGCTCGCCTACATCCACCAAGCATCCATGCTGACTCATGGCAACTTGAAATCCACGAATGTCCTACTTGCTTCGGACTTGGAAGCATGCCTAGTAGATCACTGTATCATAACATTAGCAGACGTTTCTCCCAGCGATGACCCGGACTCAGTGCGCTATAAAGCCCCTGAGGCACGTAAGTCTTCACGGCGTGCCACCTCAGCTTCCGACGTCTACTCTTATGGCATCCTCTTATTGGAGCTTTTGTCAGGTAAACATCCTTCCCAGCAGCCTTTCCTTGCCCCCTCTGATATGTCGGAATGGGTAAGAGCCATGAGGGAAGAAGATGATGATGAGGAAGATAGATGGCTGGAAATGCTAGTTGACATAGCCAGTATTTGTAGCTTGACATCCCCAGAACAAAGGCCGACTATGAGACAAGTGCTGAAAATGATCCATGACATTAAGGAGTGCAATGGTTGAGGATAGATATACGTAGTTTAATTAATAGGTGTTCACAGATATTCGAATCTTTTTGAGTTTTGAGTCATTTATACTAGTACTACGGAACAGACAAAGTTATGGTCAACTGTAAATGTCAACATTGTAACTTATACATGTGCCACCTCTGTATCTCATTTGAAGATGAAATCTAGCATCGATTTCCCTCGGGATATTCTTTAGAATTTTTGCAAGTCCATTGTGCCATGTCTATTACTCCGTTATGTGAACTTTTCTAGAGCATTTAAGGCCTTACTTGTAGGGATGGATCGGGTCCGGTTCGGGATGGGCCCTAGGCCGGGATCGGGCGGTGTTGGGGATTCAGTCTGAGGCCCTGAAGGCCCGGGACCGGCCCGGGTTTGAGCCGGGACGGGTCGGGTAATTTTTTTTAAAAAAATCAATCTTTTCTAATTTATTCCTACCCCCACCCCAAACCCCGCCAAAACACCCAGCCCAACCCACCTAGCGGTGGCCCAATGCCAACCCCACCCCCCCCCCCCCCCAAAAAAAAAAAAAAAAAATGGCCCGGCCTACTAAACCAAGGTCCTGAAGCCCGCCCCATTTTACCCCCAGTTTGGGCCCCAGAGCCCAGTCCTGGTCCCGGTTGGCCGGGCCGGGCCGGTACCACACAGTAGTGATCCGGGTCGGGTACTGAGTCGGTCCGAACTGGCCCAGTCCATCCCTACTTAACCACCAATGATATAACCTCGGCCAAATGTCACAAGAGGAAGATATTCATACTTCTACCTTTTTTTAATAATGAAACTTAGCCCATTTATAATCACGTAATTATAAAAGTCAGCAAACTAGTTATATAGGAATGGGTAATTCTATTTGCAGCCAACTAAATGCGGTGGTTGGATGTGACGTCTGTACTTGGTGCGGTGATTCAGCGCATGTGGAGAGGAGATTCTGTCGAGGAAGATGCCTTCGGTTGTAGGTGACAGTCTGAAGGCTCTTCGTACCGGGGGTCCCCTAGTGCCGAGGGCACCAAGTGCCGAAGGCTTGGTTCTCAAGCCTTATTTTCCCGTGATGTTTCCGAACTCAAATCTGTAGACGGTAGCCTTCGGCCATGTCGCCGAAGGCACCTCCATGTGTGTATTGTGGACTGTTTAGAGCTTTGTCTTGCTGGGCTTGGCCCGCTTGGGCCTGGATTGCAGTAGTGGAAGTATATGGGCCGGGGGTCCCTAGGCCATATACTCCATCAGGAGTTCCTCACTCATTTTGCCGAAAGGTACTTGAGGGAAAAAGAGTAATTGTGTTGGTGCCGGTGTTCGCTTTGTTGTAGTTTGTAAACGTGTGAGAGATTTGCATTTGCACGCGAGTTTGCCGAGGGCAGTCCTTCAGTCCTCCACATTTTGGGACTGAAGGATGTTGATGTTTTGTGAGAATTTTTAGCATTTTGTGATTTTCCCAGAGGGGTTGTCCAATCTCCCACTCCTTGAGGCACATGTAATATGGTGAAGAGGAGTAGAGCCTTGCATATTTTCAGCATAGGGCCGAGGGCTTGACTCTTTTCGTTTCATTTTGGGGGGATGCCTCGTTAAAAACCTCCTTAGAAAAAACCCTGTGGGAAAAAAATCTAATGAGGGAAAAAGAGTGCACCAAGTTTCCCTTATGATGAATCGAAAAGGTTAACCCTTGGTCTGAGTACAGTGTAGAGGCCGAAGGCTACCCGTGATCTGAGGGCTTGCCTGTTTCATTTGCCGAGGGTGCCTTGGTGATATCTTAGGGGATGCCGAGGGGGTCCCCTAGTTGTTGAGGACTGAGGTCGTGTTGACATAGGTGATAGATCCTGCGTTGCCGATGGGGGGTTTCCTAGCTCCTGATAAGTTGGAGGCTGAGGGCTCCCGCGGGGTCCCGTTATTTTATGCCGGAGGCTAACCATGGATGAGGGGTTTTGAAGGTGTTGCCCCGGGGGGTTTCCTGGTTCTTAACTTGTTGAGGGCTAAGGGTTCCTGAGGTTTTTCCCGTTGTGAATCGGGGGCTCCCCTTGATGAAGTAGTCTGAAGGAGTTATCTCGAAGGCACGCATAGTGTTGTCTGAGGGGTGCCAGCTGAGGGCGTTTCTGTATCCTCAAATTATAGCCGTTGTAATATGACCGTTGGAGAAGGCGTCCACGTGGCGTGTGTCCGTTGGCTTTCCCGGGCCGGTGTCACCGGTTGGCTGATGCGGTGGTTTGTAATGATGATTTTCCCATCGGGGGCCCGAGTTTTGGCCCAAGCCCGGATTAGGGGCCCTATAAATACCCCTTGCCAGAATCCATTTACTTCCGTGCGATTTTGGTGTTTAGTGAAGCTCTGTCGAAATATTTCTAGAGAGAGAAACTCCCTTTCGATCAAATCCTAATTTCCGAGGTTAGTTCTTGCTCCATTCTTCACTCCGCTAGTATACTTTGCTTTCCGGCCTTAGATTAAGTGTTATAGCCTTAGGGAGCCCTCTGCTTAAGAACCCTTCCACCTCTAGTTTTAAAGATGTCGTCGCAAATTGACTCCCAAGATATCTCGAGGGAACCTTCGGCTGAGGGAGAAAGTATCTCCAACGTGGAGTCTTCGAGCGGCGAGGCCTCGGCTAACAACGATTGGCAGCAGCTGAGGAGATACAGAACAACCTTCGGGTCAAAATGGAGGCCGAAGACTTCGAGCAAATGATTGAAGGCGAGGAGCTGGCCCTCACCGTTCAAGTTGCTGAGGAGGAGGAGCAAAAGGAAAGGATGAAGGTTATTGTTGCCTTCCCACCCCCTCGAAATGCCGGCGAGGCTAGCTGTCACGCCCCGGACCTAGCCGGACACGTCAACAACCCGCCGTACAGTACGAATAGTCAACCGCAGTCCAACTCATCCATACTATACAAGGCGTCATGAATATCATTCACACATAGTACATCCATAAACAAATATAATGTAAAACAGCGGAAGCATTAATACAATTGTCCAAGCCACACTTGGCATAACTAGGCATACAAGCCCCCAAAGTAATTATTAAGAAAATAGTATCCATGAGCATTGTTATAATTGTTTTGAAAACAGGAAACAGAAGAAGCACGAACCACGTCTTCTCCCTTGAAAATCCCCGAAGCAACGGGCGCCGGTAGCAACCTTCAAGTTCTACCTGAAACTGTGAGGTGGCCTCCCCCGTGAAGGGGAGGTCAGTACTTGGAAATATTTGACAAGTACAATAGCAACTATACTAAGTATAATCAACGTTTTAATTTCCAAGACCCTCAAAATAGGGTGATATCATAATATAAATAACAATTTATATTTCCCACTTATTATCTTTATAATAAGTGAATTTATTTATCTGTCGGCACACGGCCCTTCTTATATATTCCTTTTCATTTAGCATTTTCACAACCCAACCCTTGGGTCTTATTATTTCTACGGGACTTGCTACCGCTGTCCGAGACCTCATGAGGCTCCCGGTTCGGACTCCAACATCCCGCCCCTGGACTCGTACCCATCATCCTGTAGGAAGGTAAGGCCCTTCGGGGTCCTATCTTATGTGTTACCGCTACCGGAACCTAGTTAGGTCTCCGATTCGGATTCCACCCTAACCCGTGATCACGATGTAAGTCCATGCTATCCAACCCCGCTCTCTAGAGTCGGGAAGGGCCATGGTCCTTACTATTTCCATAATTCAACCGGCTATCCACAAGGACTACCGAACACACCCGTAGGCCAATCCTATACTTAGGATCAATTTATTATTTACTTTATCTTGGGTATCCCTTAAGGCCTACCCCTAGTATAACTTAGATGGATTAATAGTACTACTCATACCAACAAGATGCATCTCCTTTTAAGGGAGCTCATCACCAAGAACTCCAAAGTTAAGTGTGCTTGCACGGGAGTAGTCTTGGGATGGGTGACCCCCTGGGAAGTTTCTCAGGGCGCGCACGAGTGAGGACAAAGTGCGCGGAAAAAGGCTAGTGGCGGTTTGTGAGGACAGTACTAGAGGTCAGAAGTAACTACCTTGGGTCATGGAGACCCGGGGTGTTACAAATGGTATCAGAGCAACCCTGCGACAGTGTGTTGATCCGTTGGATATCGGGCGGGCACTTAGCAGGGGAAAAGATTCTGGGATATGATTGAGATTGGTTTATGGGCGCAACGAGGACGTTGCGTTCCTAAGTGGGGGTGATTGTAATACTTGAGATTTAATTTAAATGGATTAATAGTACTACTCATACCAACAAGATGCATCTCCTTTTAAGGGAGCTCATCACCAAGAACTCCAAAGTTAAGTGTGCTTGCACGGGAGTAGTCTTGGGATGGGTGACCCCCTGGGAAGTTTCTCAGGGCGCGCACGAGTGAGGACAAAGTGCGCGGAAAAGGCTAGTGGCGGTTTGTGAGGACAGTACTAGAGGTCAGAAGTAACTACCTTGGGTCATGGAGACCCGGGGTGTTACAAGTTCATACTTTCCTACCTTAAAGCATCTCTTAAGACTACTTAAGGCATAACACTTCACAATCCAACCTTAGGATCAATCTTAACCACATTTCATTTTAATGTCCAACTAGTATCTTAATACTAGTCAAATTGATATCAACAAACCAATTTCTCAACTCATAGTCATATAGACAATTCCAACTGATTTTCCTTTGAAAATATCATTTATCTCAACATTCAAAATATCACTTTTAATCACTCATATATTCTAATATGGAGAAAAAGTATATTTCAACATATGTTTCATAATAAATTCCACATTCAAATCAACATACTCACAACACATGAACATACACAATTTACTCTTAAATTTGTATATCATGCTCCTTTTTCTTTAGACATTTAGTCTTTTCATTTTTAGGCATTATTAATCATTAATAATCCATAAAAACACATTTAATTACCTTCGGTAATCTCATGAAATTAACACACTAATTATAAGCAATATAGTTAGCCATCCTCATCTTATGATGTGCTGAAATAGTTGCCTTTGTTGAGCTCCCCGATAAATCCTCGTTTTAAACCGATGCAAAGGCAAAACTGGACTGCCTGGGCAAAAGCCGGGCGGCTTTCGTGGTCTGCAAAAACGAGCAGCTCCCTTAAAGTGGCGGTTTCCGGCGATTTCGACTCCTATCGATTCACCAACTCTGCTAAGTTAAATATCACCACTTTATATCAATATTCTACACTTTTAAATGTGTAGAACATCATGTTTAATCCACCACGTGATTTCTTAAAAATCATACAA